GAAACTGTTCCTTTTTTCTAATCCCTTTTTTACCCAATTTAAAAATAATTTTTACTAGTAGTAATTAAAAAAAACTGTATTTGGAAATAAAATCAGGTTAAAACAAGTTAGTTTCTTCTCTAAAAGCCTTTGCGGTAAGTCGAACAAAGACTAACAAAGTGAAGTAAAAGGAAACGTTAATAATTACCAAGTTGTCATATGCTTACAGGTTTGATAAAAGAATAATTAATAGAGCAAAATATCAATTTTCAATGTTTTGAAATTAGGTAGCTGTAATGGTTGCAGAATTTTGTGAATATATGAAAAATCACTGAATTTTATACTCTTAAACAGTGAATATTAAAGCTTGTAAATTATCTCTTAATTTAAAAAAAAAAATCTGTTTTCAAAGTCAGTTTTTATTTCCTTATATTGGTCATTATTTTCCAATGTTCTTTTTCTACAAACACTAGACTTATTAGTCAAACACTAGACTCAGGTAGACATTTAGTCAATGTCTAATTTATATAGCCCAGTAATTCAAAAGCCATGTTATAAGGTTCATGTAACCTTAACAATAATCAAAGACTATAGGGATTTTTGACCCAAGTTCTTTAATGATAAAACTCCTTTTCTATATAATATAAAATCAAAGAGGCTAAACCTTCCAGAAAGAAATAACCATAACTATATGACTAAAGGAACTTTCCAGAGAAACTTACATTTTATCATATATAAACCATAAAGCAGAACACAGATTTTCATACGAAATTTCAACTAGAATATCTACAAGAAATTTTAACTACTATAAGTTTAAAAAAGCATTGATAGTACTTTTCAGTCTTACCTGGCTCTGCCATCTGAGATTTTTGTATCAGGAATTCTCTTACTTTCTCCACCCACAGGTAAAGAATACTTTCACCAATGTTCTGTCTAAACAAAATTCAGAAAAACAAGATTGTTATTAAAAGATTTCCTTCTCAAATTCGAGAAAGTACAGACACATTTACAATCCAAGAAATTATCTGTAACCGAACCATGAGTTTTAATAAAGAATTTATAAAAACGTGATTTACCAACATTTGTGGATGAGTATTTTAGATTAGATTGTTTACACCAACATTTAAAATTCCAACTGACTATAAAATTAACATTGCTTACTTATTAAAATTAGCAGAAAAGCTGCAATCAAAGAAGGAAAAAAAATTTGACTTGAAATGGATAGATGTAAACGTGATTTATTTTTTTCCAGTGGAAATATTCTCAGTATTGATGTCTAATCATTGCTTGCTTTTCTAAACTTTTTGAACAATTTCCAGCAACTTATTTGGTATGCTCATCATTTTGTATACTTATTTGGACAAAAAAGAATGCAGTGCATTTGGGGAACTTCTTCAGAGAGCCAATTTACAAAACCTAATAGAAAATCAATACATATCCATATACTGTTTTTAGCAAAATATTCTATTGCCCAAATTGAGTCATTTTTATTCCAAATACTGTCTGGCTGCCTCAGATAACTAAATCCGTTTCAAAGGATCGCTGGGAATAAGACTGTGTAATGAGTTTTGAAGTCATGTCCATAAAGTTATGTTAAATGATGGCAACAGTATCAACTCTTTAGTGAAATAAAGGCCCAGAGTCCACTCTTTAGAGAATGACACTCCTTTTAGTTACATTTTGGTATGTGTGTTTAAAGAAATAACCACACTACTTACAGCAACACCCTTATCTCCTTCCTCTAAAGTTCGTTCCCCTTGAGGACAGAGAGTTGAAGATAATGGTGATAGAATAATTTGGAAAAGGATAGTGAGAATAGCAGCACAACTAGAAGACTATAATCGATGTCACTGAATTGTACACGTAGAAATTTTTGAAATGGTGTATCTTTGGCTATGTATATTTTCACCAAAAAAAAAAAAAAGTCCTCCAAGATTGAGAAGGGAGAGTGTGTTGACATGTTGTGGGGTTGTTAACCAATGTCATAAAACAATATGTGTACTGACTGTTTAATGAGAAACTATTTGTTCTGTAAATCTTCATCTAAAGTACAATAAAAAAAATAAAATAAATAAAAGTTCCCCTTGAAACCATTATTTCTCTTTATCACCATTCATCAGCATCTACCAAAGGAAACTTTCAAAACCAGCATGTAGAGAAAACACTGCTTCTCCAGATAATTCTGTACCCTCAAATCCTCCCCATCTCACCCATAATTCTTAGCACGAAAACAATCCTCTGTGTGTTCTTTTATAACCTTTCTTTTTAGAGAGAACACAAGTCAACTGGAAAAGTTTTTTTTAAAATTGAGAATGTTGGTTGAGGTAAATGTACTGAGTACACACTAAATATACTGACTATATTATATATACCAACACATTTAATCCTCATAATAGTCCATGAAGCACAAATGAGAAAATATACCTAGAGAGATCAATTGACATATCCAAGGTAGCCTTACCAGCAGTAAGAAGCCCAAAGCCAGACAAGAACCCAGGCCTAAAGCACAAGCTGCCCACTGCATTTTGCCCTCCTACCAAGCAGCTACGACTGTGCAAGTAAGCCACCAGAACTCTTGAGTCTCAGCTCCTCATCTATTAAGTGAGAGCTATTGTCTCTCAAGGTCTACAACAGATGGTAATAAAGAATTTAAAAAAAAAAAAATTCTTAAAGTTTGAAAAAAACGAAGGCTTTACAAAAGTAGCTTCTTTTCAAGTGAGCCTATCCTAATTCATTCAACAAATCTTGACTAAGGCCTCTCCTAGGAGCCCTAGGAAGATGCCATGAATGAGATACTTGGTCCCTTAGCTAAGTGTTTATAACCACTGTCCTAACAAATTTACGGTTTTGTATGTAATTTTTTCCATCTTCTAATCTCATTCTATTGCGTTCTACACTACATCATCATCGCCATATGCAGTACTATTAATTGTTGTTGGGTTGGGTGCCGTCGAGTCAGTTCCGACTCATAGCGACCCTGTGTACAACAGAATGAAACACTGCCCAGTCCTGCGCCATCCTCACAATCATTGCTGTTTGAGCCCATTGTTGCAGCCACTGTGTCAATCCATCTCATCGAGGGTCTTCCTCTTTTTCGCTGACCTTCTACTTTAACAAACATGATGTCCTTCTCCAGGGACTGGTCCCTCTTGATAACATGCCCAAAGTACATGAGACAAATATCTAGTATTTACTGAACACCTACTATATGCAAGATTCTGTAGAAAATGCTTTATGTGTATTACCTCACATAATCCTTACAACCCTTTGAGACAGGAAAAAAACAACCCTCTGTGAATATTCATCCATATTCAGACAGTTTTCTTGGAATGACACCTTGGAATTTTTACAATTAAGTGATGTTTCCACAACAGTAGAAAGAAATTAAACCTGAACTCCACATCTCCTCTCCCTTGGCCCTGGCTTCTTCCAGAGGAATATGCAACAGCAACACTTCTGCTCAGCATCACTTACTGAACGTTTCCTTCTTCACTAGTATTTGACACAACTGTTACTGAAATCCAGTGTAAGGAAGTCATGGTGGGCGTGAAAGGTTTCCTGAGTAAAACGAAAATCATTCTTTTCCCTAGACCCCAAAATGCTACCACTGAAGGTGTTTGTTTTGATTTTTTGCTGTTGTTACCGCTATATTTGTGTTTTCTCTTGCGACAATAGTTTGTTCATATCTTTTAACTATTCCCTAGAATTTGATGTGATTATTAAGCAATGTGGTTTTCAAACTTTTGCCACTGTTATAATGAATCTTAGAGATTCTAAAACAAACTAAAAAGACAAAGCTGGGCTGAACTGGGAGCCCTGCCTACTGAGCCTCTCCTTTCCTCCCCGAAATGGTCCTGGAGGCAGTCTGCTGAATCTTAAGGACTTAGGTAGAAAATTTTAGTACTCATTATATACTGAGATGCTAGGCTTTTATTTACAAAATCAAATTAGGATAAAGTGGCTAAATATAAAAAGTCTAGAACAATTTCAACTTGAGTAAAAGACCAACTTGAGTAAAAAAAAAATCATTCTTTTAGATAATCTATTTTGTGATTAACTCTACATAAATAACTATTATCCAGTCTAGTGTAATCAAAACAAAGTCAGGTAATTTGTGACTCTAACTTTACTTGTGGCTTTAATTTTTGTATCTTCAATTTCCAATATTTATAATTTATTGATTTAAAAGTAAAGCTATGTACTAAAATGCACTAGAATCTGTGTGACCTTAGAAAAATCAATCTCTGAGTTTCAGTCATCGCATCCTCAAAATGACAAAATTATGTAATTATTTTAATAAGAACAATGATCGCTTCTAGTATGTACAAAAGTACACATATGGATTAAGTCATTTAATCCTTGTAAGGATGTTTTCCCTATTTTACAGATGAGAAAATAGAAACAAAGAGGTCACACTATTTCAAAGACTGACTTCCAGAAGCTTCACTCTCCAATGTTAAATTCTGAGACAACATGACACATCAAAATACAATCAAAATTCTGAGACCGTGATACACAAAGTGTGAAGAGCTGTAGGATATTAGAATGATCATTTTCTTGGATTTTAAATATTTAATGGACTATAACAAATTCAAATATGAAAAATTTTAATCCCTTTCATTTTATCTTAAATAAACATTAGTATAATGCTCTAAGTGCTTTAAATGTTATTTACCTTTTTGTTTTATTAAAATATCATTTTTGTTGATTTAAAATACCCATATACAAAATATTTAAGCAAAAATAAGGTATGATAACCAAATAAATTTACATCTAATCAGTCACCAAGTCCTATATTCTTAAATATTTCTATAACTGACCATTCTTCTCCACCCACGTTCTCACTGCCTTAATAAAGCCCTCTACCATCTCCCTCCTGGGTTACTCTTCTATGGGGTCCCTTCCTTCAGACTCTCATAGCCTATCTACCCACTCCTCCTCAATCCCAACTCTTCCCAGTTCATTCTCCACACTGCCACACAAATCTGCCTCCAATGCCCAGAGCCTACAAGATAATGTCCAAACTGCTTATTTCAGTTTACCAGGTTCTTTGTCTTACACCTATCTCAATTTACATACCTGGCATCTTAAACTACTTGCTGAACTCTGAAGATGTCAGGTTGTTTCATGTCTACGTGATTTTATTCATTCAATTATCTCTACTAGAAAAGCCTGCCCCTTTTGATAACCGGGCAAACATTGCTCAAAGGTCACCTTCACCGTGGAACCCTTCTTTAGGTTCTTATCACATGCCCAGACAGTTTGTTACTAAAACCTCCAAAAAGCGCTATCACTTGGTCCAAACCTCTCTTAGTAATTACAGTACTATACTGTGTTGGTACACAACTTAATGTTTAAATTCCAAACTCCTAACAGATGGCCAGCATATTTTAGATGCTGAAAATAAATGTTTACTGAAAAAAGTCAGTTTTCTGACTTCATACCTCCTTTCATAAGACAATTAATCATAGCTCATCTTCTTATCTAGGCAAAAACCAAGTTTAGCAATGACGCTAAATAAATAAAAACCTGAACAGTGTTATCTGTAATCATAATAAAACTATAAACATTAAGAACTATGTTCATATATTTATATGTTATGTGTAATTTTCAGACTAATAATATTTTCTGTCTTGGAAAAAGTACAACCAGAAAACTCCTTAGAATCAAGGATGGCGAGACTTCATCTTACGTACTTTGGACATGTTGTCAGAAGGGATCAGTCCCTGGAGAAGGACATCATGCTTGGTAGAGGATCAGCAAAAAAGAGGATGACTCTCAACGAGACAGACTGACACCGTGGCTGCAACAATGGGCTCAGGCATAACAACCACCGTGAGCATGGCGCAGGACCAGGCAGCATTTCGTTCTGTGGTACACAGGGTAGCTACGAGTCGGAACCGACTTGATGACACCTACCGACAACAACATTTTTCACTTGCTGCCCCCTGCTGGAATTGTGTGGAAAAATACGATTGAATGCTCTCATACTAAACTTTTTAAAACAGAACGTACACTTCTCTTTAAACCATTTGTGTAAAAATAATACCGCTGGCACTGGGGTTTTCCAAGTACTTTAATAAACAATACAGTATGGCCCATATTCCATCTTTAGAACAAACTGCTTTATAATTTCTGACCCTTCCTAAATCTCAAATAGCTCAACTAAACTATTTAAGGAGAACTATTTAAAGGAGAATTTAAGTTGTGCCCTGTCAGACTGTATCTCTTAATAAAAGTGTGGATTTTGGGGATAGGGAAAAGGCAGGTTAAGAAGCTATTTCAGAATACATGACATTGTACACAGGTAAGAGAAAAATCTAACTGGTGAGTATGATTAACGTGACGGAAGCCACATGTGGAAAGATTTTCAAGAAAGAAGTGGTCAACACCACCAAAGGTTACAGAAGCCAAATAAGTACGTAAAGAAAAATGACCATCAGGTGTACTGTTAGGACATCACTGGTGAACAAATTTGCAGTATACATATCTTACTTTACTTTCTTAGGGGAGATAAATTGGTGAATAAGAATAAATATAAGCATTATAGAAAGGGGGACACAAACGTAGCAGTGACCAATTATATCTTTGGGTTAGGGACAGATATTAGAAAAATGTAATTAAAGAAATAAATAATATTTAGATGCTAAGGGTGATAAAAATACTAAATGGGGGCATCCTAATACTGATATGTCTAGTACTTGGTTACCTGTAGGGTCAAATGAAACTGCAAACCTGGGGACCCAAAGAAGACCATACTTCCTCAAGGAAGGAAAGGAGTAGAATTGATTTTACAAAGATTCACGACTTTCTAATTAAATATTCTGAATGGAAAAGAAATCTCCCTGGAGCCCCGAAGAACAAAGGGGTAACTGCTTACTCGCACTGTACCAAATGAGGTGGCCACTCAGAACACAGAATACAACCCTCACCAGTCCCCAGACTAAAGCTAATATTCCAGAACATTGTTTTATAAATTAATCTCATTAAAATTAATCCAACTCATATCTTCTCTCGACTATTACATTAGCCTCCTAACTGATATCCCCACATCTATTTTGTTCTCTTCCAATCAGTTTTTCACATAAATAGAATCATCTTTTTAAAATTAAAATCTTATGTACTGTTATGTACTGTTATGTACTGAATTAGATCCTGCAAAAAGAAATGTGGAAATCCTAACCCCTGTACCTGTAATATGACCCTGTTCAGAAACAGGGGTTTAATTATGTTAATGAGGTCATGCCAGCATAGGGTGGGGCCTGAACCTAATCACTTTTGAGTACTGTCTTTAAAAAATAAAGAGCAGACATAAGAGACTAACTTGAAACGTAAACTTTCACTTAAACTACAACAACAAGCAAACACAAAAGAGCAGAATAGACACAGACACACGCAGTGGGGAAGACAGATGCAGTGGGGAAGACAGATGCCGTGTGAGGGCCCGTTTACAACCAAAGGATTGCCAGCAGACGTCAGAAATTAGGGAAGAGACCCACAGAAGAAATTGACATGTTCGAGACCCTGTTTTGGACTTTTAGCTTCCAGAACTGTGAGAAAACAAGTCTTTGCTCTTTAAGGCCACTCACTTGTGGTATCTTTTATTACAGCAGCACTAAGTGGAGCAGTGGTTAACCCACCCAGCAACTCCTCGGGAGAAAGACCTAGCAATCTGCTTCCGTAAAAATTAGAGCCAAGAAAACCCTATGGGGCAGTTCTACTCTGCAACACATGGGGTCACTATGAGCTGGAATCAACTCGACAGCACCTAACAACAACAGGTAACTAAGACAGTGCCCCTTACTTAAAACCCTTGTTTCCCACTGCTCTTAAAATAAAGATGAACATCCGTAACATGGCCTACAAGACTCTGCATGACTTTCTCTGCCATCTCCAGGTCGTTTTCCCACCATGCTCCTTCCCTTGTCCCACTTCATATCACCATTACTTGTTTCCTGAAATGTGCCAAGCTCATGCTGTGCCCTCACTAGAGTTATCTTCATCTAATTAACTCAGCTCCTAAGTCAAACAAGATGTCCTAGACTAGGTCAGGTTGCGTTTCAAATTTCTTAGTACTGTATATCCTTCTTTCATAGAAGGATATATCGCAGCTGCAATTTTGCATTTATTTTTATGATGTTATGAATAATCTGCAATTTTGCATTTATTTTTATAATGTTATGAGTAATATCTCCTCCCCTCAAGTAAATTCTAAACACCATAAAAACGGATCATTTCTGTTTTTTTCTAACCACGTATAGCCAGGATCTAGTACAGTGCCTGCAGTACAGTGTATATTTGCTGAACGAATGAAAAATAGAGTATATTAATAAATTCTTAATCCCATGGTCTAAAATAAGAGAAATTACCATTAAAAATATATCTTATTTTGATAAATAACTAAGCTTAGGACTCTGCTGTTATCAATTTCATTCTACCTAGTCTATGGAAATATCAAAACAAGAGCCATATCTCTGAATTTACCTTCACAGTTGACTATTTTTATAGCTATTAGCTCTTAATTACTATATTTTTATATCTGACTAGAAACCATATCAAATGTATACTTAAAATTATAAAATCAACCTTTCAAGGTCTCTTCAAGTGCATCTTTTTTAATGGAAAGCTTAACAAAAGTTTAGAAAACCCACTAACACAACCACAGTTTAATAGAAGCCCACAATAGAATCACTTTCAGAACTTTTTTTACTACCTGTCACTTACATATATATTTCTTCCAGACTGTTGGATAAATCCATACGTTCTTGCCCTCTAAGCCAAGGAGCACTAAGAGGAAATAAAACAAGAAAGAAGATTATTCAAGGATTGTGTTTTTATCTCATTCAGAAATTACTGATTGACTTTATTTAACCTTTAAAAGTTATCTATTTTCATTAAAATGTTATGTTTGTATAAATCTATATAGTTCCAAAATGCTTTTATTAACAGTAACTCATTTGGTCTTTGCAACAAACCATGACGATGCCAAAATCCATTATTTTCTATTTTAATTAAAAACAGGGACAGGTTCATAGGATATCATAGACTTGCCCAAGTTTATATAAATGACAGAACAGGTTTGAGAATCTAGATTTCCAGATTCATAGTGTTTGCCACAATATCAGAGGTCCCCAATTTTTTCTAACTGGTGTCTTAAAAACAAATCTAATAAATAAACTGGTTGCCACATGATTTTTTTTAAAAAATTGATTTTTTTTAAAAGGACATTTATGTTTACAAGGATTCTATATTTATCACTTTTAATAAATAAAAATTAATGTTACAAAACTATTATTAATATTAAATTTTACCGAGATTTTTATACAATTCTGTTCTTCACAGGTTTATAAACCTTACGAGGCCAAGAGGCAAGGTAGACGCAACAGGTCAGGACTCATAAAGATTAAGCCTGGGCTGCTAAGAAAACGGTTGCTCAAAACAGTTGGGGGGAGGGGCAGGGAGAAGCTCCATTTCTAGAACGCAGGCAGTCTTGGGTAAACGCGTATCAAGGAACTGTGGCTAGGTCATCAGAACTAGATTAGGAGTAACTCCAAGGGTCAAGGTTTCTAGATGACTAGGTTGTCTAACAAGAGCCCTGGTGGCACAATATAACCAAAAGATTGGTGGTTCAAACCCACCCAGCTGCTCCATGGCAGAAAGACCTAGCAATCTGCTCCCATAAAGATTACAGCCTAGAAACCCTATGGGGCAGTTCTGCTCTATCATGTGGGGTCGCTATGAGTTGAAAATCAACTCCATGGCAACTAACAACAGGTTGTCTGAAGAGGAAGGTTTCCTTCTCCATCTCTAAAGACAATTCTATAGCTACTTTACTCCTGTGAACCCTGTAGTTCTCTCTTATACTAAGTGGGATATTTCAATGTGTTTTGATATAATTTAATTTTTTATTTAAATGCTCTAAACCAAGTCCAAAAGGTGTTTTTAAATTCTATATGCATTGTAAGAAGGATCTTTTATGTAAACCCAATGTATAGTATAGAGAAACAATCTCTGAAAAGTATAATCCTTTTATAAAAATATAAATGCAGAGATATTGCTTACTTCAGTTGATAAATGGGTGGAGCTGTACTTGGGTATTCATTCGGTAGCAGCACCTATGAAGCAGTTTAGAAACAAATCTGTATACACTTTATCGTGGATCAAAAACAGTATTTGTAAAGCTAGTTATTGGACAAATTTCTAACTTGCCAAACTAAAAAACAAAACCATTGTTTTCTTAAATCTCAGCAGAAAACTCCCTCCTAGTATTTCTGCTTCTATGCTGAATAGGTGTTAGTGACGCAGCAATTTTTTAAGGAGAAGGAGCTAGTCATTTGCATACAAATTATAAAATCAACAACAATATGAAAATAAGGGGTGGGAGGACAAAAGGAAAACTGAAATAGGGACCCTAAACCCTAACCTCAAATGGATTGAGTGGTGTTAAAACATTTTTCAAGTATTTTTCTGAAGATATACAAAAAACAGGTTCCTATAAAATATAAAAATACAACATAAAATCCTACTAAATATAGAATATAAAATGCTATTAAATATATGATGGAATAGCTAACACATAATAGAAAATAATATACATTTCTTTTCAAACTAGTATTATTGTAAAAATACTGACAAAAGCTCAAAGTAGCATCCTTCATGCTGAAAATGTAGGCAGTCATCTTTATTTTATCCTATCAAATTCCGGATTACTAAAGAAATGACTATATACTCTATGAATCATCTACCATTACTTATTCTTCCTCTTACTGTTAGTCATCTTCCCAGGTTTAGACACTCACCTATTAGATGGACAGGATAAATGAAAGGAAGTGAAACTCAAGCCTGTCAATGGTACATTAAGAACATTTTAAATAATTAAAAGAATTGGGATAAAAAAATGAAACTACATATTAAAGCATGACTTGAGAGTGATCTGAGATTTAATTAGCCATATATTTAACTGACAAAAGCCAACAACAACAACAAAAGACAATTTAGAACATATCACCCAAAAATTATAGTTAAAAGGACAGTGGTGAATCACACAGTCAGTGTTGTAACTGGAAAATGGCTGTAGAGAAGGGGAAAAAAAAAATACCTGCAAGCAAAGTGTCCATTTGGGATTTTTTGCAGTGTCATTAACTCTAATACAAAATATTTTGGCACAGTCATCAACGACACACCATTCATCGCCATATATAGCTGCCATTGCTTCAATTTCCTCATTCTGAAAGAAGTTGACCAGGGAGGAAAAAAGTGAACAAATTTACATACCCTAAAAACCTGATTTTTCTTTACTCCTCTATAAGGTTTTACATTTAATAGCACTAGCCTATTAAAAAAGAACACCTGTATGGAGCCCTGGATACGCCTTAGCAGGTCAAAAGATATTTTAGCAGAGGTCACCATGTCCTGCTCTCTGGGTGGTTGCCACACACTATTGAAACAACTGGAAACCAGCCTGGCTACTACATTAGTGTGGTTTTGGTCACTACTAAGCCAAAGTATATATACACTCCCACGCCCTGTACTGAGATTCACAATTTAGAGGACACATTTATTTTCTCAACTCCATCTTCTATTTTTTTAACAGGCAATCCCCACCCCCACTCCTAGTAGGGTTTTGCCACGCATTAGCCCTAGATTCCTGCTGGGTCTCACTGGGTGTTTTTGTTTGTTTGGGGGCAAGGTGGGCGGGGGGGGGACCGGGGCTAGGTGGTAGTTACTTTATTTTTGGCAAGCACATCCTCGAAACCTTCCAGGAATTATTATTTTGATTTGAGGTTTAAGAAGAAAAATAACGAACTAAAAGATGAGGAATGAGAACCTACCACGCATTAAACTTTACATCAGTTCATTGACCGCATAGGCCTGTGGGAAAAGCGTTATTGAACACCCACGTCAGCCACGCACTGCAGAAAGCTCAACACTAAGATGAGTAAAATTCAGTGGGCCTTCAGGGAGCTCAAGGGTCTGCGTCACTGCCCATTTTGCAAAGGCAGAAACGGGGGTTCTCAAATGGCTGTTCCAAAATGACCTAGCAGCGTCAGGGCGAGGAGCAGAACCCAGGCTTCGCCTCTGATGGTTGACGTGCTATCGCGTGCTGATGGTTGGCCATGACACCGTCCGAGGCGAACCCACTACCACTGGGGAACTGCTAGCCCAAGAGCTCTTGGGCAAGAATGAGCGCCGGAAAAATGGAAGAAGTTGGTGGACAAAACGGCACGGCCAGGCGGTACAGGTGGGACTGGGGGTGACCCCGGGCTGAGGGCCCCTCTGCGGAGGAGGCCCGGAGCTGCGAAGTGAGGCTGAGCCACGCCTGGAGGATCCGCGCCCGCCGGGGCCTCACCTGCCTCTGGTCGGTCCCTGGATCTCCTTCAGCCATTTGGCCCTAGAAGCAGCTGGGCGGCCACCGCGGGCCCAGGTCCAGAGTGCAGGGGCGGGGCACTGCCGCAGCAACAGAACGCAGTCTGCGACTGGCCTGACCCGGAACTGCAACCCTGCAGCGCCGCCGCCCACGTCTGTTTCCGGGTTGCGATGACAGCTGGGAGGGGGCTCCATGCCCACACTCACGCTTACACTCCCGTCACCCCGGGGAAACCGTCCCGCCATGAGGAAGCCTTTTTGGGTCTGTCACCTGGAAATTCGCTGGGGCTGGGAGCTTCTGCTTGTCCGCTTGTCCGCTTGTCCGTTGTGACCTCGGTATCCTCGTAACCCCCGGAGACGTTGGACAGTCGAGTTTACCGCCACGTCCCAGAAAGGGACTCAACCACTGTCTACAGTCCGAGACTCGTCTGCATTTGAAGGCAGAGGTTTTTTTAATGTGTTAAAGTTATTTTGTATGATTTTGACGAAGATGGGTTTGATTTACCAAAAAAGATAGGAGAGAGCAGGCAAGAATTTTAAAAGCGTGAGGAAAAACCATATTCACCCACTGTTGTATTGGCGATAGCTTTCTTTAGTGTTCTTAACATTTTGTCTAGGAACAACTTTTATACGAGACACTCGTTATGCCAGTCAACGTGTGGATCTTTGCTACCTTAATTCAAAAAATTTGAGTAAGAGTGTTGTCATTTCTCCCTTGCTCCCAACTCATAAATTCCAATACGTTGGTTGTGAATTATGTCAGTCACCTTATTGAAGACAAATGACTAGAGTTACACTGAGAATTAAATCCCTTTTAGGTAACTTATCCCCTCTCGCCTCACTTCCTTCGCACACACACACAAAAACTCAAAATATTAAGTTTCCTCTCTCTTCCTTAGAACCAGTACGAGTGGTAGTCAAGTCTGTTCCAACTCATGATAACCCCAGAAAGTAGAACTTGTGCTCCTTGGGTTTTCAGTGGTTGACTTTTTGGGGGAGTGGATTTCCAGGCCTTTCTTCCGATGTGCTTTTGGGTGGACTTAAACCTCTAACCTTTAGAGTACCAGCTCAGTGCGTTAACCATTTACACCACCCAGTTACTCCTCCCCTCTATTCCTTAGTCATGGGCATTTTTCAGGCTCCTCTTAAAACTCTGAGGCAGGGATGTGCTGCATAAGTACCTGTTAAGAATTCTACCCGTGTTGCTTTGAGGGAATCATAGTATAAGTCTTGTTGATTTACTGATTCAGCAGATATTTATTAGGCTCTTGTTGTACTGAACGCTAGAGATGAAAAAAAAAATGTCTTGCTCTTTTTTTTTTATGAGCTAAGATGTGAGAGAACAAAAGTTAAGTCAACAATTGACTAGGAGTAAGTCCTATTGTGTTGGTAGCACAAAGATGGGGCCATCCAATTTATATGGGGCTTCTTGTTGGAGGGAATTGAGTTATAGAAGGACAGATAGAGGTTAGCTAACTGAAGAATGGGAGGGGAGATGTTCTAGAGAAGAAAAGAAAGTTTATATATTCTATTGCCTCTGACATCACAGCTGTCAACCTCCTCTTGTCATGCTGCTTGCACACTCCTTTATGGTCACCTCCATAAATCTGCACATGTGTATTTTTGGCACCAAAAGTGGGCTTGGAGGGCTTTAGCCCTCTGTGAATCACATCCTTTCTCTCCAATTATTTGTGAATTATTTGTAATTATTTGGTTTGGACAGTGTATATTTTCTTCATCTTGAGCAAAAACAGCTTCAAGACCCTCCTTCCAACCAAAGTGACATAGTCCATGGTGCAGTCAATTCCTTATGGTATTTCTCTTCTAGGCGGAGACTTTGCCTGGGATTCTGAGGGGTTTGGCCACATGTATCTCCTCCAGGTTGCCTGAAGGCTTCTGCAGTTATTCTAATACTATGTAGCTTCCATCTGTCTTAAACAGATTCGCCTTGACCTCTTTCTTTGCTGACCTTTGTATACCTTATGGGTTTTATTGCATAAAACAGTGGTTTTCACACTTTAAAAAAAAGTCACAGAACCCTTTCTTCAATGAAAACTTATGTAAAACAGATTAGGTTGCTCTGGCTGAAATATTGGTAGTGGACCTGAAATCTCAAGTACTCAACAACTGTTCTTCCCTCGCAGTGGCCCCTTAAGGATTTTAAACCCCAAATCAAAAGCCACCGTATTAAAGCGTCACATAAAACATTGTACAACATAACTTAGTCAGCTAAACAAAGCACCACATATCCAGTTTTTTACACATAGCTCCCTTCTTACCACATATCATGATAACCCAGCCCATCTTACCTTCTGCAGATTACTCCAATGATTTTCTGTTAATTCCTGTTTCCTCATAGTTAGAGCCTTTCATGCCTTCGTTTGAGCCCAGATAAAAAGAAATGACTTTTTTCCAAAGAGAACAGAACAAAATCCTCCCTATTTCTTTGATCTGCTCGAGCATGTGACCAATACATAAAACTATGAATAGGGCCCAAAACTCAGATATACAAAGAACATTTTGGAAAGAGAAAGAAAGAAGTAATTATTGAAGTAACAAGTGTAGCAGCCAACCCACATTTTGCAAACATTTTGGGTTTGCAGAACGCATTGGAAGAAATCAAGATTTTATAGACAATTCAGTTGATAAAGATTTAATATGAATTTTGAGTAGTTCTTAATAAACAGTTCTCAGCAGAAGCTGAGAATGGTCTGCAAATAGTAACATACTCTGGGATACAAGAGGGGTTTCTAAGCCAGATTCTGCTGCTTTTCACATTAATTTGGCTAAATGGTTACTGGATGTCTCCCTGAAACTCAGTATGTTCAAAACTGAACTCATTATCTTTCTCCCTAAACCTATTCTTCGTGTCTGCCCCAATTCAGTGATTTGCAACCCCAGCACCACTGCATCAACAATTGCCCAAGCTTGAAACCTGGGAGACATACTATATTCCTCCCTTTCACTGCCTCCATACCCAGGCACCAAGTTCTGATGATTCTGATTCCTTTATATTGCTTATATTCCTCAAATCCTCCTTCCTAGTTTTCCCGACTCCATCTGGACACTCTTCAAGTCATTCTCTACACCTCTGCCAGAGTGATCTTTCAAGTGTACAAGTCTGATCATGTTTTTGTCGTCCTTGAAATCCTTCATGTGCTCCCCACAGCTTTCAGGATAATGTTTAAATACCTTAAAGCACAAAGTATGTTCCTGACCACCTCTAATTTCATCTCCAGCTGTTTCAGCTGGACCAGTCTGATCAATTTTACATAAGCTTTCTTTGAAGAAAAAATTCCATGGCTTTAGAAGGAAAGTGTGAAAACCACTATCTACCACATGCGATGCACTCACAAGTTGTTCACTAATAGTGTCACGTTCATCCTATCAGAGCCGGAGCACACAAGACACTCTCAGAGCGTTAACACATGGAAAGTAGCCACCAAACAGTAAGTAGAAATCAATGTTCACTCTTAAGTAATGGTTTCAGGATGGAAAAATCAATGTTTACTCTTACATCACTGGAGGGGCACATCTTTGTTGTCAGCAGGTTTGCGGCTGGTCCAGCTCTGTCGCACCAGCCTCTGGACAGCCCTGGGCCAGCTGTCATGACAGCTCTTGACGCAGAACTGCTCTGAGGGCAACCCCCACATGGGGTGCACCCAGGCTTGGGGGCAGGCCTCCCCTGAGCACCGCAGTCACCCCCTGTGCTCCAGACAGGCGCCCTTCACTTCGGACAAGCTCCATTGTGCTTCCAGTGGGGTGCCTGTGGCTTCCGGGCCCACTCCTGATCTCTGCTGCTTCTGATGCTGTCACAACCCTAAGCACATTATAGTTCTGAGCCCACTCATCTCAGTTTACTCTGCTGCCACTTCTCTGTTCAGCAGACACTAGCTTCTGCTTTCTCCTGGTCTCTGCCTCTGTTTCTCCCACCTCTGCCTTTTACTAGTCTGGAGTTACTGCTGTTACTGGTGTTTGTCTCTTCTGAAGAATTTTCCAATCTCTGATCCCCCAGGCTGACATCTCCACCCTGGGACAAGGATGGGACGGGACAGCATAGTGTTCTTCAACACAAAGCTTCCACGTCCTCAGGGGACATGCTCTCTCCTTAGAAGATGTTCACACTCTCCAATCCCGGAAGCCCCAGTGAGCCACCTTCTTCCCAGGCTTTTATTGGCTTCGTCAGCTTCGGACCCCCAGGTGATCCCTCTTAGTCAGGTCAGCCCCCACTCAGAACTAGGACCAAAGGGCCAAATCATCCACTGCAAAGGGGTTCCATGCCTCGCACCACAATAGACACTGTAGGGAATTAAGCCAGGATATACAGAGAGGTCAGTGACTAGAGTGAAGGAAGGGAAGCTGTTGGCAACCCCATGTATGCAGAGTCAAACTGTGCTCCATGGGATTTTCAAGGCTGTGATGTTTCAGATTCTGAGGTGCCTCTGTGTGAGTTTGGAACCACCAACCTTTTGGCTAGTAGTTGAGTGCTTAACCATTTGCGCCACCCAGGACTCCTAAGGAAAGGAGAACTTCGTGGTATTAGGATAACTGTAGAAGTCTACAGGCCACCTGGAGGAGACACATGGAGCCAAATCCCTCAGAGCTACCACCTGGAAGGGAAATAGGATGACTGGCTACACCAGAATTTGTGTTGTTGGACTTTGGAGCTCAATTTGGTTGGTTGGAAGCAGGGCCTTGAAACTGTTCTGCTTAAGATTAAGAAATAAACTGTCCAAATCAAATGATTGGAGGGGAAAGGTGGTGTGATTGAGATCACAGAGAGCTAAAACCCTCCAAGCCCTCTCTTGGTACCAAAAACGAATGCACATGTGCAAATGTATAGCAATGATCATAAAAGGGTTGTGCAAGCAGTGTGACAAGAGGGGGTTGACAGCATGATGTTAGAAGCAAGGGGGAATGAGTTACTTGAATGGAAAATCCTGTCTTGGAACTGTGTACATCTTCTGACTGCAACGGAAGTGGCAGATATTGGTGAGATATTATGCGTGAGAAGGGTTCTCCATAAGCCTAATCAGATGGTTTGAATCAAGCTCTTCTGAATATTTTCTAGGACCTTGCTACTCAAAGTGAGGTCTGTAGGCCAACAGCATTACATTACCTGAGAGCGTATGAGATGTGCAGAATCTTAGGCCCTGCCCCCAGACACTGTATCTGAATTAAACAAGATTCCCAGATGATTTGTATGCACATTAAATTTTGAGAATCTTGTGTGATGACCATGAGAAAGTGCCTCTCAGAGCTTAGCAGCTAGAGTAATTGATGCAGGGACCCAGGTGCTGTGCTCTGAAATGGGCGTAACTATGGAAGATACCACCTAGGTCAAGTAGTGTTAAATTGCTGAATGATTTCTCACAGCTGGTGATGGAGACTGTTCTGGCCAATAGAAATTGCTCACAGGCGCCTCGCCTCAAGCAGTGCCCAGGACACACACCAATCAATATCCATTGCACGCATCCTACCTGTGCCTCCCCCCCACACCCTTAGGCCTCTGCTCTGAAATCTATTACCATGTTTACACTGAGACCATGCTTCCCATGAATTGCTCCCATCCAACAGTGCAGAAACTAAGGCCCTAGGAGGTATGATACCCCTCTGATGGGTGACTTGGGCTCCAGGACTCCCTAAAAGCTTGGTTGAACTTAAAACTACTTCCACGCAATCTTCCTGCTTCCCTTCCGCTCCTTTCCCTTTTATTCAGGGGTAAGATTTACATCTGTCTAATGCCTCTCTGAGCCTCTTCAGGCTCCCAGTATATATTATATCACAGGTGTTTCCCCTAATACTTTTCTTGCACATTTAACCTCATCTATGAGTCAGAATTGACTCGACAGCAGCAGGTTTGGTTTGGTTTAGATTTCTCCACGACCCAGATTAATGCATTCTGCTTTAGGATACATGGTAACACAGGTGACTTCTGCTATATAGTATTAAGTTGGATTAATATTATCTGTTTCTAAAATATTTTACTTAAGGAATTATGTCCTTAAAATATTTAAGAAACAAAACATAAACAAGCCATCTTGTGAGTCTTTTCTTTATTCTCTGTGTGTTTATTAGCCAATGAAAGCTAATATGGCCAGCTATAGGCAATGAATGTCAACAGTTTCTCTTTGTACCACTTATTTGTGTTCTAGACAACAGTTTGACCCATTATGGCCAAGAAAAGTGATAAAAGTTACAAAGGAAGATTAAAATGCTGGATATTAATGTATGCAATTTATAGAGAACATCTGTCAAGGAAATAGTCAAAGAAGGAGAGTCAAGATAATTTAAAACTGATTGCAGCAGTACGTCAACAGAGAACTGCCAGAAGTGTAGGCTGGATTCAGAAGAGGATGTGGAAGGATGGATATCATTGCTGATGTCAGATGGATCTTGGCTGAAAGCAGAGAATACCAGAAAGCAATTGAGGAAAGGAGCAAATCCTTTAATATTGTAGTATCACCATAAATAACACTGCAGCCTGGGAAGGTTAGCTGACAATTGTTTCAACAATAGCTGGAAAAAATAATGGTGCCAAAGGCATTCCCTGACACACCATGGCGAAGGTGATGCATCTCAGTAAGAAGATGCTACTAGGGGCTTGTCAGAGGGTTTTCGCTTGGGTTCTGTAATTTGAGGTGGAGCGTTCAAGGAAGTGGGGTTTTCTTTGGATTGGGGCTCTCAGGGAAGAAGAGTAATTCTAAAATGGGGTATCTCAATGAATCTTCAGTGAATCTTAGAGGCAGGAGGAGCAGAGTGGGGCTAAACCTGTAATTGGTAAAGAAGCAACATTCACTCATGTTAGCTGGGAGGGGGGACATTTGGCTGTTTTAGTGGTTTGCAGTGTTGGTTTTGTTTGTGCTCAGACACGATTACAGAGTGGTCTTTTCCTTGTCTTGCTTCATCATGGTCACAGAGTGACCAAGTTGTAGGTTTATGTGCCATGAAATTGTTTTATGTTCAGCAGGAGAACACTACGGTCTAGCTGTGAGTGCAAGGCCAGCTCTCAACTAACAGAGGTGATTTTTTCTTTCTCATTCTATCCCATTATCCTATGGAATTTTCTTCGCAGTACTAATCAATATCCAACAATTATCTACTTCATGTATTTTTTAATGTGTTTGCAATCTGTCTTCCTCAATTTGAATGCAAGCTCCGTGAGGGCATGGATATTGTCTGTCTTATTCATCACTGTGTCCCCAACACCAGAAGCAGCCCCAAGCATGTAGTAGATAAAACAAAAAACCTATTGCTGTCAAGTCAATTCCAACTCAAAGTGACCTTATAGGACAGAATAGAACTGCTCCATAGGGTTTCCAAAGAGCAGCTAGTGGATTCGAACTGCCAACCTTTTGGTTAGCAGCTGTAGCATGCCATAGCTCTTAACCACCACACCACCATGGTTCGATATAGCAGATACTCAGTAAATATTAGTTGAATGGCAACTATTGGTCTCTTCCCATCTGGAACAAAGGAGAGTGAACAATACCAAAGACTCAAGGAAGAAATTAGCCCACAGGACTAATGGCCCACGCGAACCACAGCCTCTTCCAGCCTGAGACCAGAAGAACTAGATGGTGCCTGGCTATCACTACTGACCATTCTGACCGGGGACACAATAGAAGGTTCTGGTTAGAATGGGAAAAAAAATGTAGAACAAAACTCAAATTCATTTAAAAAAAAAAAAAAAAAGCAGACTTACTGGATTGATAGAGAGTAGATGAACCCCTAAGACTATTGCCCTAAGATACCTTTTCAGCTGGGAACTGAAGCCACTCCGGGAGGTCACTTTTCAGTGAAATAATAGATTGGCCTGTAAAATAGACAATAACACCCATGAGGGGTGTTCTCCTTTAAACAATCAATTGTACGAGACCAGTCAACAATTTACCCAAAAGCAAAGATGAGAAGGCAAGGAGGGGCAGGAAACTAGATGGATGGAAACTTGACAGGCGGGGTGGAAATGGTGAGAGTACTGACACATTGCAGGATTGTAATCAGTGTCATGAAACAATTTGTGTATGAATTGTTGAATGGGAATCTGATTTTCTGTGTAAACTTTCACCTAAAACACAACAAAATATTTAAAAAAAATTATTAGTTGAGTGAATGAATAAATTAGATGGTTGGGGAAAAGTTTCATCTGAAGGTGGGAGAGAGGGTCATGAAGGGAAGTGAGGAAATTCCAAAGCATACCCATGAGGGTGCAACCATTTCAAATCATCCTTGGGGTTGCCATGTCACCCATGATAGGATATCTGACCTGGGAGCCTAGGAAGCTACTCTCTCTAGAATGGCCTTTTGAATTCTAATTAGAGAGTCCTACAAGATTATAAAATGTTGAAATCCAATTTATTCTGTCCAGATAGGTTTAAAAAAAAAAAATTACCGTTGAGTTGATTTCAACTCATGGTGACCCCATGTGTGTCAGAGTAGAACTGTGCTCCCCAGGGTTTTCAGTGACTGATTTTTTTGAAAGTAAATCTCATACCCGTTTTAAAAAACAAACAAACGGTTGCCATCTAGTTGATTCTGACTCGTAGTGACAGAAGGTATGAAATCATCCTTCCCCATTTGGACTGTTATTACCTTAAGAAAATAGAACCTGAGAAAACCTCTTTCAATCACCTTCATTCAATGGCAAGCATAAAGTGTCTTTTCAGAGCTTTTGTTTTCATTTCCAGACCAAGACCTACATATGAAAAGAATGTCAATGAATATAACCCTTTTCATCTCATTAAAATACTTTGGTATGATTGGAAATCAATCTGAAGCTTTCAAAGAAAGCATTTCAGGTAAATATCTTTTCTACTACACTTCAGTATTTATTTTTGAACATATTTATTGGACCATTTCCCTAAAGGTAGAAAAAAATTGTATTGAGGCAATAACGATTATTTATGTTTATATTTACTATTTGTATTTTTTCACTACCACTGTTTTTAATGCCTCTTGGTACTTTATCTTACAGAGGTACTGAAAAGTTACTAGTTGGGTCAACTCAATAAATATTTACTGAGTGCTTATTTTGTACTATGTGCGAAGTACTATGCAGTTAATTTCCGAGAAGGTAAAGAAAGTTAACAGAAGACTTATAACTGCCCCCTTTTCGATGAGACCTATTTTCAAGTAACTGTAGCACACTGAATTATCTTAATTGGTGCTGAAGAGATTAAAAATCATTAACGTTAGCCAGACACCGTTTAGCATCATCTTCCAAGTTGATAGGGTATATGTTTAACCTGCGGTAGATAGATAGTTCCTTCAAGTATTTTGGAAGGGCTCCAGAGCCAGGATGCTTAGGTACAAATACTGACTTTGTCAATGACTAACTGTGTTACGTAACAGCTCTGGGCCTTCTTGACTGCAAAATTTCCTTGTCTGCAGAATGGGGGCGGTAATAATAGTTCCTATTTCATAGGATTATTGTGAAAATACGCCATGTAAAGAAAAAAACAAAAACTGAACCCATTGCCATTGAGTCAATTCCAACTCATAGCAACCTTATAGGACAGAGTAGTACTGCCCCATAGGGTTTCCAAGGAGTGGCTGGTGGATTCGAACAGCCATCCTTTAGGTTAGCAGCAGAGCTCTTAACCACTGCGCCATCAGGGCTTCAATTTATGTGAAAACCAAAAACCTGTTGCTGTTGACTCATAGTGAACCCAGAGTACAGAGTAGAACTGCCCAAAAGGGTTTCCAAGGAGGGCCTGGTGAATTCGAAATGCCAACCTTTTGTTTAGCACTTAACCACTTAACCACTGTGCTGCCAGGGCTCCAGTCTATGTAAAGGGCTCAGTATACTGGCTGACACGTAATACAAGTTCACTAAATATTATTGTTGTTATATGTTGAATTATATATTAAATATGCATTCACTAAATATTATTACTGTTGTTATGTGTTAAATTATATATTATGTTGCTATTATATTTTTACTATCTAGTTTACAGAGCTGTGAGATTAATAGCCATTGTTTCATAAAGAAAACACAGTACAAAGTTTCACTATCAAACTTAGTATTTTTTGCTACTTGCTGTGTGGAAGCTTTTTAAAGATTGCTACAGAAATGAATATTAGTAAGACAGTTCTACCATTGTACCATTGAGGAACTCCTATCTAAAAACTCAGCAACTGCTGTGTGGTGGAAACAAAACTCTGGACTTCTTATTCACTATTTCTAAATGTATATGTGAAACTAATTTTCCCCTATTTCTCTTTGTCTGTGACCTACTTTGTTTATCCAAAGTGCACTCTTCCCACCACTGTGTAGCAAGCAAGATCAACTATGCTCTATGTGCAGTGCCAAGCAAATCTCTCTCTCAATTATTCATTTATATACCCATTCTCTCCTTCCACTGCTGCTGTTATACAACTACCCACCATTTATTTCTAAACTTACCTCCCAGTTTATGGGTGATAAGACCGTTTGACTCATATCCTGACTGATGTACTAGCTGTGTGACTTTGGGCAAGTTATTTAGCTTTTCTCAGCCTCGGTTTCATTTCTTGTAAAATGAGGATGTTAATGCCCGTTTTGGGAGTTCTTAAGAAAATTAAATAAGAGAATGCCTAGCACATTTCTTGGCATGCAGTAAGCTTTCAAGAAATGGTAGCTTGAAATAGATACATGAGACTAAATGGGCAGCTCCCATCCGGAGGTGAGATGAGAAGGCAGAGAGGGTCAGGAGCTGGTTGAATGGTCATGGGAAATCAGGGGTGGAAAGTAGGAGTGTGCTGTCACAGTACAGGGAGTGCAGTTAGGGTCACATAACAATGTATGTATAAATTTTTGTATAATAGACTAACTTACATTGTGAACTTTCACTTAAAGTACAACAATAAAAAATAAATAATACGGAAAGAAAATGGTAGCTAATATTACTGAAATACATCTGTGATGTTGTATCCTTGGGTGCATGATAAGTAGAAATGCTCTCCAATATGAAAAGGAAGAACAAAACTACTGAGAGAATAGAGTGATTCAGATCACTTTATGAGTTGTCTACAGCTATGGGTGAAAACTAGAGTTACCATGCATAACTGTATTAGGAATCAAACTAAATACAAGAAAGGAGTCTCTCTGGGTATAAAACGTGACATGGACTTAAAACTTTCAGGGTGTAATACTAAAATACAATTTTGACTACAGTGGTTGAATATACCCCTTTTGATGGAACAAATTAATTAAATCACCCACAAAATAGAGCATTGGTAATTGAAATAGAATTAAAGTGAGCTAGTCAACAATGAGGTAACAAAATAGTTTGTGATCAGCTGCTAACCTGAAGGTTGACAGTTCAAACCCACTGTGATGGTTAAGATTGTGTCTCAACTTGCCTGGGCCATGATTCTCAGTGTTTTAATGTGATCACTCCCATGATTGAATATACTATGAGTAGCCAGTCAGATGAAAGGGAGTCTCCTTAGGGGTGTGACCTGCATCTGAATATAAGCAGACATTCTGGCTTTTTGCTCTCTCTGGATCCTGTGGATGCCTCCTGTCGTCTCATCTCTGGTTCCTGGGACTTGAGCTGTCACCTTATCTGCCAAACTTGGGATTTGTCAGTCTTCACAGCCTGTGAGCAAAGCCCTGCCGTCTGACCTGCTGATCTTAGGCTCACCAGTTTCTGCAGCTGTGTGACTTGGGAGAGGCCTCTACCCTGATCCATGGACTTGGGACATTCTAGCCTCTACAATTGCGTGAGCTGTTTCCTTGATATAAATCTTTCTATATATGTATATTTATATGCTTTACTGGTTTTGCTTCTCTAGAGAACCCAGCCTAAGACATTTGGTACTGGGAATGGTTCTAAATAAACAAAATTGTAAGGATGGGTTTTGTAAATTAGTTCTCAAGTCTGGTTAGTCTTAAAGATGTTGATGAGTCTGCTTCCAGCAGTTAAGAGGCCACTGATAGTCCATAGAGTGAGGTGGCGATACAAATACGCAAAATATCACCACTAGTAGATCAGGTATTGGTAAAAGGGAGGCTCAGGGTGAACACGTGTGATATCTTTCTACAGCTTTGTCAGAATGCGAAGTATAAGGAAGCTGGTTGGTTTATCCTACTTTCGCTAAACAAGCTGGTGAGAGAAAGAGATGCACTCAGGGCCTCAGAGTCAAAGCTCAAGTGCTGCATACATGACCTCAAGGCTTCCACTTGTGCTTTGAAAGAAAGCCTTATTTCTTGTAGTAATAGAGCTGAAATTGCCAAAAATCAAACCTAGAATCTTATTGTAAGAGTGGCTGAATTACAACGCCAGTTCAATTGCCAACCTCGAGAGGTGTCTGAAGTTAAAGTAAGGGCATTGATTGGGAAGAAATGGGATCGTGAAACTTGGGATGGGGGCATATGGGTAGATAATCAGGAAGCTGGGGACAAGGAGCCCATAAATTCTGTTGAATCACTCCTGCCAGCAGAACCAGTCCCATCTGAAGAGATTACTTCATGTTTCTCTGCTAAACCACCCTGCCCAGAGAAACTATTAGTCCCTCCACTCCTGTCTAATAAGATTAGCCCTAGCCCAGCTGCCTCTAAAGAGCCCTTGCCTGAGTCATTGCCCTGAGTATCGCCTGAGGCAGATGCTTTACAAGACAGTGCTGAATGTTCTCAAAACAATCTGACAATACCAATTCTGGCTTCTACACCTATAACTAGGCTTAAGTCCCAGCGAGCTCCAAAAGCTGAAGTACAAAGTGTGACCCAGGAGGAGGTACGCTACACTTTAAAAGAACTACTTGAGTTTTCAAATCTGTACAAACAGAAACCTGGGGAATATGTGTGGGAATGGCTATTAAGGGTGTGAGATAATGGTGCAAGGAACATAAAGATGGATCAGTCTGAGTTTATTGATATGGGTTCACTATGCACAGATTGTTCATTCAGTGTTTCAGCTAGAGAAGTTAGGAAAGGATCTAATAGTTTATTTGGTTGGGTTACTGAAGCATGGATTATGAGGTGGCCTACACTAAATCAAGTTGAAGTACCAGACCTACCTTGGTATACTGTAGAAGAAGGTATCCAAAGGCTTAGGGAAATTGGCATGCTAGAGTGGATTTATCAAGTTAGACCCACAGACCCACACATGGAGTGCCCAGAGGACACACCGTTTACCACAATGGCGAGGAACAAATTTGTGAAGGGAGTTCCAGTATCCTTAAAGACTGCTGGGATTACTATTTTATGTAAGTCAGATTTGACAGTGGGAACTCCCCTAACTGAGTTAAGACACCTAACTACAGTGGGGCTGATTGGACCCTGTGGTAGTAGCGGTCAAGTGGCTGCACGCAATAGACAAAGACAGAGTGAGCGTGGTTACAGTAATGAACAGAGGAGTTAAAGCAGTAATCAGAATAGTCTGACTCATATGGACTTATGGCATTGGCTACTTATTCATGGTGTCCCTAGGAGTGAAATAGATAGGAAATCTACTAAATATTTACTTGATCAATACCAACGGATGAATTCTAGGTCAGGTGAACAGCAGTCTAATTTGAATTGCCAGAAGAGAGTCACGGTCCCTCAGTCAATACCCAGATTTGAGCGAGTTTAAAGACCCACAACCCCTTGAGTGAAGGGGAGGCCGGGTCCCCTTGAGGAAGGACTCTAATACACTGCCAAAAATTTTTACTGTTATTCTTTCTCCCAGCCTTCCCCAACAGGATCTACGGCCTTTTACGAGAGTGACTGTTCATTGGGGAAAAGGAAATAATCAGACTTTTCAGGGATTACTGGATACTGGCTCTGAACTGACACTAATTCCTGGAGACCCAAAACATCATTGTGGCCCAC